AGATGATGGAGATCACCACAAAAGACATTTAATCCCCTCCCCTTCTCAAAAATCATCCTAAAATAATATGGAGAAAAAGAAATGTACACAAGTCCCACCTTGCATTGGCTCACAGCACATGAAGGCAGAAAATGAAGGGAGGATACTTCATAACTTAGCAGAGAAGAGAAACCCAAGTACCTTCAGAGGTGAGGGTGTGGAGGAAGGGGTAGCCATAAGAAATAATGCTACCCCCAGAACCTAATGAGACTCAGGAACCTGAGGCCTCAGATACCATGAAAATGAGGTGATGTGGAATGAGGGAGTGATGAAAACAGTGAGTGCCCAAGTCTCTATCCCCTCTCTGTGTAGTTGGAGGGCTACTCTTCCCCCGACTCTGCCATAACCAGAGTATTTGCCAGAGAAACTGAATCCCAGAGTTGGGTACACAACCAAAAGCAAAGTTAGGATGAGGTGCACACTCAAAATAAGAGGATTAAGTGAAAGCCTACATCCTCACAGGTGGACAGCTACAGTTCTCTTTTCTCAGGATGCCAACACATGTGTTTACACCATTCCCAGGTAACAGATTGGAAAGTCCAGAGAAAATGAGTTTAGATGTTGACATGTGGGCATCTCCAGCAAAAAGCCAGCTGGCCACACAGTCACCCCATGGTAAGACACAGCAATCTGCGGCACCACCCACATACACTGGTGCACAGTGAGCTTTGTGATGCTTTACTGTTAAGAATGAATAGACCACCAAAGGTTACCAGACACTTGAGAGAAACCACCAAACACAGAGAAAAGAAGGAGTTCAGAGAAAAAAGGCAATACGGGGAACAGAAGAAATTTTCAGAAGAATTATAATCAATATCTTCAGAAAGACAAGAAAAGATCATGCATCCATGGGAAAAGAATAGCATGCTATTATAAGACAAGGAGCAGCAAACAAGAAAATGCTTATAAACTAAACTTATTACTATGCCTGGAAAGTAAGAAGAAAGGCCTATATAGGACATGGAAGAGATAAGAAAATAAGAAAATCAGTACTAGAAGTCCAGTATCCAACTAATTGGAGTTTCATTCAAATAGAGCAGAAAAAAAACACTGCTGAAGAGGAAATTATTTTAAAAAAGAAAAGAAAAGAAAAAAAGATGAGTAAATTTCTTTATTGTACTGAAGAAATGGATTCTCCAGATAGGCTTAACACACAAATTGAACGGGGAAAAAAGTCCCAACCCAAAGCATATCTCTGTGAAATTGCTGAACACCAGAAATAGAGAGGAAATTCTAAAAGAACGAAAATCAAGTAACATTCAAAGTATTAGGATTGAGAATGGTACGTTCTTCTCAAAAGCAACTTTGGAAGCTAGAACACAATAGAGCAGGCCTTCAAAATTCTGAGTGAAAATGTTTCAGCCTAGAATTGTGAGGCACGCTGAGTATGAGAATAGAACAAAGATTTTTTTTTCAGTCATGCAAAGCCTCAAAAACAACCAACTCCCCTAGTGTTTAAAAAAAGTAAGGCCTTTTCTCATGAAGCCCCTGCAGACGTGCTTCTGCAAAATTAGGGAGTAAATGAGGAAAAAGAAAGGCATGGGCTGCAGGAGGTGGGAGACCAGACACCGGAGGGGAAAGAGGATCCCCCTGAATGAAGGTGGAGGAAGCTCCAAGGGCAGCTGGCAACAGAGGAGAGAATCCAGACCAGACCCTAGGGTCGGGCTGCAGGAAGGAATTCCCAGGACAGGAAGGATCTAGAAACAAGCTGTGACTGTTTTGACCCACTTCAAAATTGCTTTGAGAAGCATTTTGCAGAGTTGTGTAGGGTGTGAGAAGACTTAGATGTTTCACAGAAATCCTAACTCCAGGAAACAAGAAAATGTACGTGATTAAGGAAACAATCATTGTATACTGGTTGACTCAGCAGTGAATGATATTTATAGGATAGTAATATAGGAAAGCTCTGTGGATCATATTGGGAGCATGAGGGGAGGGTGACCATAAACTCACCTGCTGCTAGACGTCACCAGTGTTCAAGGGCAGATTCTGGTGAAAGGATGCTGGGAGCTTGCCCTCTTCTGCTATGCACTAGCTGGGAGACCCTGGGCATATGACTTAGCCTCTCTGTGACTCAGTTTTCTCATCTGTAACTGGGGTCAGTAATAGTTTCTACCTAACAGGACTGTTATGAGAACTCCATAAGTTAAACGGCTGTAAAGCTCTTAGAACAATGTATGGTACATAGAAAGGACAATATGAATACTTGGTGAATAACCAAGTATTAATAATATGTGCATGCTATATAGAAATATGGTGGGAAAACTACCAATTTAAGTAAAAAAGAAAATAGAAAGCAGTTGCCTTCGGGAATCAAGAAAGGGAGAATAATGAGGGACTACTGATTTTTAATTCTAAGTCTCAGTATAATTTGAATTTTTTAAATTACTGCAGGTAATAATTTAAGTAAAATAAAACTAGCTTAGAAAAACTAACAGCCAACGGCAGATTTTCAAATCAAGGATGTGGGCCGGGCGCGGTGGCTCAAGCCTGTAATCCCAGCACTTTGGGAGGCCGAGACGGGCAGATCACGAGGTCAGGAGATCGAGACCATCCTGGCTAACAC